GAATCTCGAAACACTAAACACGCGTGTCTGGGTGTAAGATTTGGCTTCAGTTGTTTGCTTCATGTAAAGTTCCATGTATTTTAGTTCAATGATCCCCTCATATCCTCCTCTATTTCTTATTCACTTCTATCCACTTTTGTTGTAGAGTCACTTCATTCTGTATATCTACTCGTATTCACTTCATTCTCTATCCATTCTTATCCTCTTGCATTCCCTATTCACTTACCGATTTAATTTTGTGTAAACGATTTGTACCAGTATGGAAGGTTTGAAACACTCGTTTGTGAAAGTTACCCACCTGTAAAGAATGCTTTTGCCTTTAAATCAGGAGGGAGTAATGTTAAGGGAATAAGAATAAAGTCCGTGTATAAGGTGTTGTATTTCCTCGTTATAAAATGAGACATCAGCTGAGGATGTTTTGAAATTTGTGATGTTTTTTTTTATAGAAATCAGAATGGATGACAACAACTTGTAATCACGCTCTATATGCTATCATCGATGTTTTTACTCAGTATTTTGATATTCTTGCTGAAATTCTTCTTGATGATATGTATGGCCATCTAGAGTGGTGTGTCAAACAAGGTAAGCTTGAGATTACGCAAAGTGTTTGTGCTTGGCATTTGCCTTGGTGATTGGTTCGTTGTGTCAGAGTTTGTGATAGGTTTTAAGTATGGGAGTGTGTGATTGGTTTAAAATATGAGAGTTTGTTATTGGTTTGGTTTGAGGTACATTAATATACAAGAAGTATCAGACATTCTTACATGTTCGACTGTAAATGCTTTGTAACACCATGTTCTGCTTTGCTCGTTCATTCAATACATGTCTTTAGATAACGAGCAGTTAGCGAGGTCTGGTACCAATTGTTTGGAAAATCTCGTCATATCCAATGGCAACACGTTCTCCGAGGACGTCTGGGAAAAGACATGTCAATGTGTAAAGACGATATTTGAATCAACCGTACCTCACGAACTATTGAAATGGAGACCCGCTGACCAACAAGTAATGAGTCTACCCACACCTGATGTCACTCCTGCGTCATCACCACTCAAGGTAAGTTACACTTATTATATGGAGGCGAGCTGGCCCGGATAGCGAGCTAGCCCCGATGATTTCATGGGATTGAAAAGAGCCAAAACTTCAAGGTTTAAAATTACAACTGTTTGCGAAGCGCCACACGTCATTCCGGTTGTAATTATGAAATTATGGCAAATTGGTTGTTTTAATTTTAAATGTTTTGCGTAGTTATTAAATCAGAATATTGTGAAATTGCTTGAGAAAATTTATCTGATGATAAGTATTGAATCGTTTCCATTTGGCAAAATGATTTAACGCTTGGCTGAATCCCGGCTACCGGGATCATGTAATCCATCCGCCCCTTAGTATTTTTTATGAAGTTTTAAAGCCTGACACTCTAAAATTATAGAAAAACTTTCATAACTATTCTGTTTGTTTTATGTATTTATTACCCTTAAAATTGACGTATATTGTAGATAATGTCACCTGTCGAGCTGGAGGATGATATCGTGCCCAAATATCAGGAAGGCTAATAAAAAGTTTGTGAATTCTTTTAAAGGAAAATTTTTGCTTCAATTGTCTCCATAATTATAAGATTGGAAAATATTTCATGGTAAGCTAAAGCTCGTATATTAAAAAAAGTTCATTTGAAACAAAAGCTCATATGAAGCAAAATTTCGCATATTGCAATATAGCTCGTGTGAATCTTTAACTCGTATGGACCAACAACTTGCATTCTTTGAGTAACAAGTGAAAATTTTTCCGTATTATTTTTTAGACGAGGACGAACAAGATGGTCAGCAATCGTCAAAAAGTTTGAATGAAACGGAGGAGGAAATGCCTCAAGAAACAGTTGAAGAAACCAAAGAACAAGACAGCATTAGTTTACATAGTACGCCTAGTTTACGATTTGAACCTGTCGAAGAACACGAACCAGGTAACTATGTGTTAGAAATCAATCGAGATTAATAATTTGTTGTCACAGCCTGCTGCCATTTACGTGTTTAATTTACTTTGGTTTATTGGAAAGGCGTAGCAAAACGTATAATTGATATATGCGTTTGAAAAACTCAATCTGAAGTAAACAGCGACGTCATGTAACATTTCCTGAAACTGCTTATGTTCTAAAAATTTACATTTTTTGCACTGTTTGAAACAATAATGTTGTTAATTGTTACTAATAGAATTAATAATGCTACTAATAAGCACTGACTGAACTAATAATTTTACTAATTGTTACTAATAGAACTAATAATGTTACTAATTAATAATTAAGTAAATGGTTTGAACCTGGGAGTATCGTTACATGTTTGTAGATGTAGATCATCCAGGTTGGTATAGTCCTTTGAAGGACTGTTTTTGTTGTTGTTGACTGACGTTTCAATAACCTTAGCGGTAGTCATCTTCAGAGTCAAATGAGGAGTAAACGTCAGGTTAGCCGTATTTGTTATCTGGTTCTTACGTCATTGTATTGTGTGTACAGGAAATGTGTACTGTCATTGTGAATTAGTGTGAAGTGAAATATTTTTAGTTGTGATGTGTGATTTAGGTGTGACGTTTTTATTTGTAATGTGTGGGTGTCAATTGTGTATTGTCATTGGGAATTAGTGTGAAGTGTAATGTTTTTAGTTGATTGTTTGTTTGTATTGTGAATAAGTCGTTTCTAAGGTGCCGGTAATTGCTGTGATCTGTTCAGGGGGGTTTGTTCCAAGTTGGTGTACCAACTTTCTAATGTAAGCCGTTGTCTATAGTCAGTACTGTAAGTGATGCATTTTGCCGAGTCCCAGTCAATGTTGTGCTTTGCGATTCGGTGTTGTTCGGCAATGTGATTAGTTTTGTCTTGTTTCTTAGTAGCTCGTTTGTGTTCATTGTTTATTTGATGTGTTCATTGTTTTGCATTCGTTGCTTATTTTATTTTAGAAGACCTCTAATAAGATAAATTAGCCTTTTGTTTGGGATATTCGAAAGTTCGATTTTTACCGACAAATGAAAAAATCGTCTGAGCGTGAATACGGAAATGTTCAACCAACACCCGAGTGACATTTTTAATTTTTTTCATGTATGTACTTTAACGTTTTAAAATCATCTCATTATTTTAGTTGTGCAGACTGAGAGGATGCTGTTCAATTCATTGATCATGAAGTGTGTCGTTCAATTGGAACTTATCCAAATATTCGACAATGTCGTCTTTTTCCCAAGCATCAGCAAGCGAGAAGATGAAGATACTATGGCTGAATTACAGCTCAGTTGTAATTACGGTCATTGTAGGTAATACTGAGATAAATTGCTTTGTCGTAATGTTGTTATACCAGAGTTCCCCTTAGTGGCATAACAAACGTCTTAGCTGAAGCACAGAATATGTAATATACAGAAAAGACACTTGGCATCTTTAGTTGTATAAATTTGAATAAATTTAATCAATGAAAAAGTTTTTCAAAACAAAATGTGCCAGGATTGTTACCATTGCACTTGACTGCATACAAGTAAGTTGTTTTTGTTTGATGTGTTAGGACACTTGGAGTCTTTAGTTGTAAGAAATAGATTTAATCTCGGAAACATTGTCATTGCGTTGTCTCTAAGGCATTACAATTGGATAGCACAAAATAAAGTTGCTACCGAACATTTTGTTGTTAGTTTCCTCCTAAATTCCTCCCAGAATAATCTAGAGGATCCTTACTTTAAAAAATTTGTCATTATTGCTATCTTTATCTATCCACAGTACTTACTCATATCCAATCCTCCAAGTTCCCATGTGTCTTTTAACCAGAATCCTTTATCCCTCCATATATCTATGTAGGTCATGTATTCATCTTATATAAAGTTCTATATTTCATATACTTTGTTCTTAGAAACTCATTGCTTATGGTCATCATGTTGGCGATACACCAGACTCCATTGAACCAGAGAGGCGTTTAATTGACAGAATTATCGAGACTATTTGTAGTTGCTTTACTGGTATAATTACTGATGTAAACGTTCAAATACAAATTATAAAATGTTTATAAAAGTAATCTCAAACTACTAAAGTATTTAATGAGGGAAATGATGTATCCTTGAGGAATTTAACGAGGGTAACGACATATGTATCCCTATGTTTTATACATTTTTTGTCTAATTTTTTTCTATTTTTAATATTACGTCACCTACACCAGATATAACATAGAGTTCACAAAAAATATTCTCGTACTGTATTGAACTTGCAGGAACGATGTCTCTTTCAAGGGAAAGAGCTATTTGTTATATAAATATAAGAAAAAATATGCTAGGAAGACAATTTGATCTTTTATAAAAACAGAACATTAAATTAATTTTCAAAGCCTTTATCGAACTTTCTATTTTATGAAGTTATTATAAATTACTTACAAAAATCATCACAGAAAGAGTATCCAACCATTCATCAAAACCGTATGAGGTACATATCCATATTTTTCAAGGAGTTTAATGAAGTTAATCATGTATTGAATCTAAAAGTTTTGTCAATTTTTCGTAGATTCTTTACAATACGACAATAAGAAATTGAAGGTCTGTTATGCCGATCGGTGCGTAGTACCTATTACATCAATACATCGCTTGATCTTTGACCCAGGAATTTTGGAAAAAGAGTTTGGCCATTTCCATTTGGACAATTTTTTGTTTTTATTCTCTTCAAATTTTATTTAAAATTTATACTGGAGCCTGTTGCACGAAGCGTGAATAGCGTTATCCATTGGATAGTAGTTTTTTAAATTTGTGAATGTGCATGGTTATATTTTGTTTATTATGATGATACTTTGTAATTCTAGAACCAATATTGTATTTCATTTATTGTCCAGTGCGAATCGTTGATTTTTCTCTTTTAAGTTGTTTTTGAAGCGCTCAAAAACGTTGCTACTTAGGTTAATGGTAGCGTTGTTCGACCTTCGTGCAACTGATGTCTTCTCTGGTAATTTATTGGTAAAGTCTCTGCAAAAATATAAATCTGGTGAGAACTATATATGAACAATGAACATGATTATTGTCTGCTCTTCAGCTGTACCCGTTACAAGTCCGGAAGTGAATCAGAATGATCTCGTGATGAGCCCATCCTTGCATTTTAATGATGTTTACATTACAATACGAAGAAAGGGAAAATCGTAGAAATATTTCAATATAAAACTGTGACTCTACGTTGTGGAACGAAATAATAAGTGTGGAAATGAAGAAATAGTCGTTTTGGTCATATTTGGTGAGTAAAATTGTGTAAAACATTGATTTTAAAGCCTTATTGTTTAGCTACTCGTTGTATTGTAAGGTTTGACTAAATGGCAGAATACTCGTCCACTTGGATTCATTGACTGTGCATCCACATTTTCAGTAGATACACAGATGATATTATGCCGTATATAAGACGATTCTAACTTCTGAGAAAAAAAAATCAACGTGAAACGAAACTATAAGATAAATAGCGCTACATCTATTGGACAATGCAATAATATATATTTATGCTTAGTATATCAAATTGCGTTTCATCATATAAACACAAATGATCTGTTTATCTATAAAAACGACTATATTTTAATATTTAAATCAACCACGAACGATTTGCATCAATTATACATTACCACATAGGTAATGTATAATAGGTAATGTGTTGTGCCATTTTCGCACAACCTAAGCGTTCTGTTGTGCAGGATGCTAAATCACGATTCTTTTGACGACAAACGTTGGTTCATTACCACGAGTATTAAAATCAAAAAATGCTTATCCTATTCGTCTCTTCAAGACTTCAACTCAATGCGTTACAATGCATTAATCAAATGCGTCGATAAAATGCGACCATCAAAAATGCGTATTGAAGCAACCGGAAACAGCGTTTGAGAGCCTCTGTATATACTAAACATTCAACAATATAAAATTACAAAGTTTCCTCTTTACCACGATTGGAAAGAAGGTCTTCCTCAGCAACTCAATGCTTTAAACTTCCCATGACAAATGCATGTGCGTAATTTAACGTTAATAGTTCCCATTTTACCATGCTCTTACTTCTTTAGTAATGTTCGTGCTTACAGCAAGAGAAAGATACTTCACTTGTTTTTATTATTTATGAAAATTTCTTCCCGTATACTATTTTATATTGATAAGTTTTACATCGTCCATATTATTATTGATAAATTGATAAATATTACGACAAGCAGGTCACGTTGCAAGAAAAACTGTCTGTTGCTCATTTCTTTTGCTGTTTTTCAGTTTTTACAATTTTTATGAGCACAAAACGGTTAAAGCCACAAAGATATTCAACTTAATTTATGTATTTTTTTAATGATCCTTTTATTCATTTGAAAATGACTGACTCAAGTAGTACCAACTGTTGTCTGACTATATCTGTTGATCTTTGGTTTGGAAACTCAAACTTTGACGAAAAATTGCCATTTGCATCAATATTTGCATAAATTTTGGCCTATTTTCTATTCTAATAATTTTTCGGAATCATATTGGTAATTTATTTTAAAAGTCTATGTCAAAAACATAAATCTAGTGAGAACTATATATGGACAATGAACATGATTATTGTCTACATTTCAGCTGTATCCAGTTACAAGCTGTGAATCAGGCCTGTTTTATACGTCGAATTTCCGTCGAATTTAATCTGTCGAATTTAATGCGTTGAATTTTATTCGACGGAAATGCGACGTATAAACCGATTATCTTCAACGCGTCGCATTAAATGCGACGCTGTCGTGTTACGCGACGAATTTCGTCGCGTAATTCAACGGAAGCGCGACAGCAGTTTAGACGTTGAGCTTCAGACGCGTCGAACAAAATGCATAAATTTTTATAATTATTTTCCATTCCCACAATTCAGCGTTTTCTGCTGCGTGTGTTCCACGAACACATAATTTCAAAATGGCGGGCAAGCATGAAACATGTGTTGAATGTGAAACAGCAACAAAATACAAATGTATTCGATGCAAAATATCTGTTTGTAATCGTCCATCGTGCTCAGTGGAAGAAAAGAACGAAGAAGTAGAAGGCTGGCTAGAAACGGTGTGCGTTGCATACTGCAACAATTGCTTTTTCAATGTGCAGTCCATCGAGGCCGAGGGTGACAAAGACGACGAAGTCGCACACTTTCTTGCTGAAGACGGTGAAGTGACGAAGAAATCGTCGGGCAGGCGATCATTATGGTCTCAAGAACATGTTGACGATATGGTCGATATTATTGTCAACAACGAAAATTACAAGCGAAAGCTTATATTTACGAATAATAGGCGATCAACGAATACCGAAGTTTACCAACAGGTATTGGCGCAGGTGAAAGCAAGGCATCCAGAATTCCCTTTCAAATTGGAGCAAATTCGCAACAAGTTTAAATGGTGTATCGGCACATGTAAAAAAGTTGCACTTACAATCCGAACTGCTACCGGCATCAATCGTTTTGTTGATGAAAAAGGATTTGAAAAGTGGTTCAATGCCTTGTTTCCCTTAATTAAAAGTAGGGATTCCTGTCAACCAGAGCAAAGCATTGAGCCTTCCACATACACAAGTTCAAGTACATGTAGTACACCTGTTAATGGAGATGAAAGTGATGAGGAGGAGGAGGACATTGAAGAAAAAACAAAAGAGCCTGCTCTAAGAAAAGGAAGGGATATGTTTGTCCCAATTAAAAAACGAAAGAAAAAAAACAAGGAAGAGCCGCTTGCAAAGGTGTTAAAAATTTTGGAGAACATGGTGGCAAATGATCCAACTAAAGATCTTTTGAATTTCATGAGAGAAGATGCAGAAAGATCTAGACAATGTGAACTAGAAGTTATTAAACTTTTATCCAATCAAGCACCACCTGCACAAGGACATGCACCACAACTTCAACCCTGCTATCCGCCAGCACAGCATTGGGTGCATTCAATGGTCCCACAAACACCTCCCAGTGATCACCATGTAATCAACTATCCAATGCCTGGAGCTAGTTCACCCTTTGATTCTCAAATGAACAAATACACTAAACTGTAATTTTGTTGCTTTTTATCCGTTTAACAAACATATACAGTAAAAACTATTAAACATTATGGTATAAAACTATAACTATTTGTTATCAATGTGTCATATTTTAAAAATTTTTGTTAATTACAGTGCAAAGCGTGAATCTTATAATAACATAAAACAATGCATAAAGTGATAGAGCTCGCAGTTTTTCAAGCGTCTTATTGTTGACAAGATTTGGCTTGTTTGTTATAAACATACCAAAGTGAACAATTAACACACACCATATTGCAGTTTTTCTCTCCATAACTTTTCTTTAAATGCAGCTCGTATTTTCCCTGCATTAATGGATGTGTCTTTGACTTTTTCACATTTTCGCATGTCAAGCATATCTCTCACAACTTGCCGATCTCGTCGTTCCAAAGTGGCTGGATCAGCAGCTATGTCAGGCTGTTGAGGAAAAGGTTCATCATGTTCGATGCAAATATTGTGAAGAATAACACAAGCCAATGTGACTGCTTTCATTGTTTGTTCATTACATTCACATTTCCTGAACAGAATCCTAAATCTTCCCTTAAGCTGGCCATAGGCACATTCAGTCACCATTCTAGCTCGAGATAAACGATAATTGAAGTTTTTTTCTTGAGGTTGGAGTGTTGAGAACGTGTAGGGTTTCATAATCCAGGTTGTACACGGGAAAGCAGAATCACCAACAATAAGAGGACCAACTTCAATGCCCTCAATCTTCTTTGAGATTGCAGGAAGAAGATTGTTGTCCATAATATCTTTCCAAAGCTGGGTTGCCTGTAAGATCATGGCATCATGGGTATTGCCAGGAAATCCAGCACTTGCCCACACAAACCTATACTTGGCATCAATCAAACCCATTAAAACAATTGAATAAAAATTTTTGAAATTGTGATATTCTTTGGCTGCCTCTGCACCTCCATTAGGACATTTAATCGAGATATGACACCCATCAACTGCAGACCAACAACATGGAAATTGCCAGAGTTCTTCCATATCAATTATTTTTTCCCTCATATGTCCTTCTGACGAGGGAAAATGCGCACTAACAGCATCCTTCCATAAATGAATTACAATGCTTTCACTTCTTTGACAATCTGCTGTATTGTTGCTATTCCAAGGCCAGACATTTCAGAAAGAGTGTAATAATAGTCACCACGTGCTAATCTATAAAGACATATAGCCAATCGACATGCTGGTGAGACCGGTTGCTCTGACATTGTTTTCTTTTCTAAATCACATTCAATTTTGCCGAGAATCATCGTGAAAATATCTCGTGATACACGAAATGTAGTCCTAAAGCGCTTTTCTGAATAGGTGAACCATATAGATTCCCACCAGTGTCTCCATGATAATGTTCTTTCAAGCCGACGACAAGAACGAATTCTAGGTATTTCATTCTCCTCAGAAATAAGATTTAGCAGTAACAAGCACAACTGACAAATCTTTCTTCTTCTATTAATCAAAGCCAACAATATATGAAGACGCCTTTGTCGTCTTTCTCTTCGTATTCGTATTATTTTCCTTAAAATAATAGCTTTTGCCACAGCCGCCATGTTTAATTTTGCCTAAGAAACAACCTGTTAGCAGGCTATAGAGTCGAATTTGATGATTTGAATCCGATGCAAATTCGACGTATAAATCGAGAAACTCATTTCCGTCGAATCTCCGTCGCAAAATTGTCGCATTAAATTCGACAGATTAAATTCGACGGAAATTCGACGTATAAAACAGGCCTCAGAATGATCTCGTGATAAGCCCACCCTTTACATTTCAATGATGTGTACATTACAATACGATTAAAGACAAAATTGAAGAAATATTTCAATATAAAACTGTGACTCTACGTTGTGGAACGAAATAATAAGTGTGGAAATGAAGAAATAGTCGTTTTGGTCATATTTGGTTAGTAAAATTGTGTAAAACATTGATTTTAAAGCCGTATTGTTTAGCTACTCGTTGTATTGTAAGGTTTGACTAAATGGCAGAATACTCGTCCACTCGGATTCATTGACTGTGCATCCATATTTTCAGTAGATACACAGATGATATTATGACGTATATAAGACGATTCTAACTTCTGAGAAAAGAAAAATCAACGTGAAACGAAACTATAAGATAAATAGCGCTACATATTTTGGACAATACGATAATATATATTTATGCTTAGTATATCAAATTGCGTTTCATCATATAAACACAAATGATCTGTTTATCAATCAAAACGACTATATTTTAATATTTAAATCAACCACGAACGATTTGCATCAATTATACATTACCACATTGATATGTAATTATAGATTTATAGTGACATTGTCGCACAACCTAAGCTTTCTGTTGTGAGGGATGCTAAATCACGATTCCTTTGACGACAAACGTTGGTTCATTACCACGAGTATTAAAATCAAAAAATGCGTATCCAATTCGTCTCTTCAAGACTTCAAGTCAATGCGTTACAATGCATTAATCAAATGCGTCGATAAAATGCGACCATCAAAAATGCGTATTGAGACAACCAGAAACAGCGTTTGCAGCCTCTGTATATACTAAACATTCAACAATATAAAATTACAAAGTTTCCTCTTTACCACGATTGGAAAGAAGGTCTTCCTCAGCAACTCAATGCTTTAAACTTCCCATGACAAATGCATGTGCGTAATTTAACGTAAATAGTTCCCATTTTACCATGCTCTTACTTCTTTAGTAATGTTCGGGCTTACAGAAAGAGAAAGATACTTCACTTGTTTTTATTATTTATCTAAATTTCTTCCCGTATACTATTTTATACTGATATGTTTTACATCGTCCATATTATTATTGATAAATTGATAAAATTTACGACAAGCCAGGTCACGTTGACAGAAAAACTGTCTGTTGCTCATTTCTTTTTCTGTTTTTCAGTTTTTCCAATTTTTATGAACACAAAACGGTTAAAGCCACAAAGAATTCAACATAATTTATGTATTTTTTTAATGAACCTTTTATTGGTTTGAAGATGACTGACTCAAGTAGTACCAAGTATTGTCTGACTATAGCTTCTGATCTTTGGTTTGGAAAGTCAAACTTTGACAAAAAATGGCCATTTGGATCGATATTTAGATACATTTTGGCCTATTTTCTATTCTAATAATTTTTCGGAATCATATTGGTAATTTATTATAAAAGTCTCTGTAAAAACAAAAATCTGATGAGAACTATATATGAACAATGAACATGATTATTGTCTACTTTTCAGCTGTATCCAGTTACAAGGAAGTAAATCAGAATGATCTCGTGATGAGCCTATCCTTTTCATTTGAATACAACACGTCAACACTGCAATACAATGAAAGACAAAAATGAAGAAATATTTCATTATAAAACTGTGAATTTACGTTGTGGAACGAAGGAATTAATGTTGAAATCTAGAAATAGTCGTTTTGGGTCATATTTGGTAAGTTTTACAAAACATTAATTTTAAAACATTATTGTTTAGCTACACGTTTTATTGTATCACAGATTTTATTAACGTTTTATATTTGAACTTTGATATAAGTTTTTCAGTTGGCCGTTGATTTATTTAATTTTAAAGTTTTGTAACTAATTTTTGTACCATTATTTTTCTTCGTTTTTAGTTTGAAGTTCAAACAAAGGCTTCACGATTAAAACCAAACATTCTTCATTAAAGTAAGTCAGAGTATTCACAACATTATATTCTAAATAAATTTCTTTTTTGTAAATGGCTTCACCACCTCAAAAACTGAAGATTGAGGCAAATGGATCTCGTTTAAGTAAAATTTTGATAAATAAAGGAACCCAAGCTTTGAAAACAACATTGCGATTTAGTTTTTACTTTCGATCATCAAGTTTGATCAATGAACTTAAAGATCTTTCAACAATGAACAAATTGACTTTGCTTAAAAACAAAAGGGTCATCAGTAAAGAGCAATGGGAGCTTCTTTACCCGCCAAATGGCTCATCACCTGACCTTGACAACTTTGACATCTCATTATTGACTGTCTTACTGAGAAATATTTGTGGTCTAACAGCGCCATCTGGAGGATGGGATAGTCTTCCTTCCTCTTCAGATACTTCAATCTCAGCAAATATTGCAAGAATAAAGTTTTATCGAAACAAAGTGTACGGTCACATAACTACAACTAGTGTAAATGACAGTGAGTTTGAGTACTTGTGGCAGGAAATTTCAAAAGCATTGGTTGGTCTTGGTATTCAACAAACTGAAATAGATGAAGTAAAGAAAGCTCCCCTCAGTCCTGATGAGGCAAATTATATTAAAATGTTGAAAAAATGGCATGAAAAAGAACAACAGTTAATCGATGTTGCTGAGAAAACCAACGAAAATGTAAAAGCATTAAAAAAAGATTTTGAAGCTATGAAAAACAAAGTAGAAGAAATTAAAGAAAGCATGCCTACAAAAGTTGATGTAGTTGAAATTAAACAAGACATGGCGACAAAAGCTGATGTAACCAGAGAAAAAGAAATGATACAGGACAAAACATGCTCAGATCTCAAGAAGCTTGGAAAGTGTAAGTTTAATGGTCTTATAAAAGATCTTAACAAGAAATACCTTGAAGGCACTAGACAATGGTTGTTTGAAAAACTCGACACTTGGTTTAACGATAAAAGTGAAGATGCTTCTAATGTCATGATTTTGATTGCCGGTCCAGGTGTTGGTAAAAGTGTGTTTGCTGCTGAGGTGTGTCGACGATATTCTGAAAAGAAAAAACTTGCTGCTTCTCATTTCTGCAAATATAATAGATCAGATTATAGAAATCCTCGAATATTGATAGAATCATTGGCTAGTAGCATGTGTGATACAATATCAAATTTTAAAAGTAAACTGAATGAAGAATTACAGAGAAACCATTCTAAAGAATCAATCACCGATAAATTCCTTGTTTTATTAAATAATCCATTGCATTCATTGGAAGTTCATGAAACAATGCTTTTGGTTATTGATGCATTAGATGAAAGCCAAGTTGATGGCAAAAGTGAATTGTTGGAATTGATTGCAGAAGAGTTTGACCGACTGCCTCAATGGATTAAAATCTTCATCACCAGTCGTCCAGAACTTCCTGTTCAAAAGGAGTTGAAAGTCATGAATCCTGTGGAAATTACAACTCGTCCTCGTAATGAAAACAACGAAGAAGACCTGCACAAGTATTTAAGTCATCAGTTGAATGATCGGGTGCAGAAAGATCGCTACTTTCTATTGTTCTTAGTTGACAAATGTGAGGGATCATTTCTTTATGCGTATCACGCACAACAGAGCTTGAATAAAGAAAATATTGAGCTTACTTACGAAAACATTCTACAATTGGTCCCTAGTGGGTTAAGCGGTGTTTACACAAAGCAATTTAAAAGAGTAAAAGAATTGTTAACGGATAAAAGTACCAGAAATTCTGTTATCTCAGAAACTACTTTCATGCAATTTCTTGAATTGTTGGCTGCCTGTCGGGAGTTTTTACCATTAACTTTCCTGTTTAGCTATTTAGGTTTTTCTGGTGACATCAAGTTTGAAGTCCGCAGTAAAATCATTGAACCGTTATCTCAAATTTTGCCAGTTTACGATGATTATTTAACCGTGTATCACAAATCTCTGATTGATTGGTTGAAATCAGATGGTTACGAACAGCATGAGTTTACAGTTAATCCAGAAAATGGTCATAAGTTCTTATGGCATGCTTGTGAGAAAGTGTTTGAACAAATTAAGTCGATGAACATTTTTGAAGATCAGATGAACACTGCTATGATTAAATATGTTTTGGAGAATGGAGTCCACCATATGATAGAATGTGGCGAAAATGTTGACTTTAGTTGGGCAGTAGATATCAAAGTGGTTTGTGCGAGGTTAATGTGTGTGAAAGACATTTACGTGAAACCCATTATGTCTGAATTGTTTGAAATCATTAAGGAGCGGCGTTTTTTCTTGAAAAAAGATGTACTTGAGGAGCTACTATTTCATTTGTTTATGCGGTCAATGAGAACGGGATATGACTCATATAAGTTTAAGGATATCTTATTTTATTTACAAATTATTGCAAACAGAATTGATTGCAGTAACGAAAAAAGATTATTGGCAAGGGATTTATTGAAACAAGGAAAGTTTGTTTGGTTTGAGGATTTAGACTCAACATATTTAACAAACCATCATCATTTGACTGTCTCCTTGCGTGCAAACGTTATATCTCTTTGTGTGTCGTCCAATGAAGAACTTCTTGCTGTAGGATATGAAAATGGTCAAATATCTATTTTTGAACTTCCTGAATTCGAACAACAATGCACTCTTGGCACTGCACTCGATGGTTCAAGGTTGGATAAATGGAATGATGTAGATGATGTAGACAAATTTATGTCCCTATATGGCAAATATTACGATCCATTAACAATGGAATTAGGTTTTGTAGGTGGAAACATCTGTTGTTACTCCTTTTCACCAACCGGAAATAGACTGGTAACTAGTGATGGATCTACTGAAGTAAAGTTGTGGGACGTTAACAATGGACATTTGTTATTATGTTTACAGTCAGATGATGTCGTTAATCGTTGCTCTTTCTTAGATTCTGGTTTGTTTATTACAGCAAGATATGATGGAATTTCTTCTAAAGGTGCGCTCACAGTATGGAATTCATTAACTTTGCAAAGAATCGATCGACGCTGCGTTGTTGAATACCAAAAACTACAATGCACCGATAAATATTAAGAGTTCTTTGTTGCACAATTCGTCCAGACTTGGTATGTTTTTCAATTCCCAAAGGCAATCGATATTTTTTCAACTAAAATAAAAAATTCACTACCTTTACATTTAATGATAACACACCATTATCGTGATTGTATTTTTCATCATACAAGCCAGAATGGAAAGTTTTCTGAAATCACTAAGTTGACAAAATACAACGATCAAGGAGAAATCGAGTTTTGTTTACCAAATGTTGAGTGTCCATGTGTTGATAGGGATCAAAAAAATGTCCATCCCATCTCGTTTAAGGAATTTTACGGTGTGCCGTATTTTTCCAAGCTTAAAATTTTTAAAACTGATCATCTTTGGCGACCTTCATTTATCTTTGAGAAATTTGAAATTAAATGTTGTTGTTTTTCACCGGATGGATCTTTTTTTGCTGCTTTCGCTGTTGGTGACCACGTCAACATTCATATTTGGAGCATTGAACGTTGCACTATTATTCAAACTGTACCAATGCAACTGAAGGATGCATTAGGATGTTGGTGGTCAGATGGTTTACTGTGGATATGGGATGGTTCTCATCATCTTAAGAAGATATCAACTTCGTCTGAAAATTTTGTAGATTCTACTAAAGCAAAGCATGTTAACATTGGATTTAAACCTAAGAAAATCTTAACATTTGGTGATGTCTTAGTTTGTATTGACGAACAAGATTTTGTTCAAGTTGTTAGAATTACCAAGGGTGAGATACAATACAACAAAAGACTTCCTGTTGATAGTTCAAAATTTAAAGCAGCGGCTGTATCACCTGATAATTCTGTTATTTTAACTGTAAACAAAACAGAATACACATTATGGAAATGGGGAAATAACAACAATGAACTTTACTTGAAACCTTGGCATACTGCAGAAATACCCATAACAGCTGTCATTGAAAAATTTGTTCAAGAACAGGAAACTGTAAATGATCTAAGGTTCAACTGCTGTATAAGTGATAGTAAACAAGCAGTCATAGCATTTCGCAAAGGCATCAAAATTATGGTCATTTATGTAATTAATGTTCACGAGAATGGTGATGTGAATGAGATTTTGCATGTCAGTAGATATTTTTTTTTCTCCAACCTAGTCGTACACAAATCTTATTGCATAGGAGGGTATTTGTGGTCATTGCTTGCTGTAGATTTAAACAGTGGTGAAGTTTGCTCTGAATTTAACGATAAACGTCATTTAATGTATATTATGACTATGCATCCCAACACTGGAACTTTAGCTAATGTTGACAACTCAGATTGTACAATTCAATTTTTTAAACTTAATGCTCCTGAATAAATACATCAACTCAAACTTTAATAGTAAGTTCAAAACCTTTTGAGAAAATTGCACATAGATGTTGATGGTCGTAAGGATGGTTGCTTGTTTCCACCTACTATAGTTTTCTACAGAAGAAGTATACTTATTCTACCAGGCAATCTTTAAGAAATTATCTACATTTACCAAAAATAAATTTGGACCAATTTTGCAAAAGATCTTTTAAATTTATCGGTACTATTTCTTGGAATGTCTTACCTCCTGCTCTTAAAGAATGTAAAATATTATCTATGTTTTGCAATAGTCTGAATGATATATAATTGCTTTTTATAACACAAATGACTTGTATTTAAAAAGATCGCTTCTATACTAATTGATCATGAATATTTGTTTATTCCTTTCTAAGATTCTACCTGTAATCTTCATAAATGAATTGTCATTTAAACAGGGCATCCTCTAGATTAGATTACTACTGTAAGATGCTCTGTCAAACTTATTATTATGTATTGTACCTCTGAACAAATTTGATGTTGATGATTTACTTTTTAATAAAAATGTATGGTTAGATAATTTGGTTATTTTTATTTAACAAATAGATAACATTTAACAGTTGTCTATACAGTTATAGATACACGGGTATGACGTCATTGTGATAAAAAATGAGTGGCCACGAGCCGCCGGGCAAATCAATGTTCGAAAACCGGGTTTTTTCTTTTCTTTTTCCTCAAATGCGTCCAATGCTTCAACTGGGCATTCTTAATTTGTTCATACATATCATTCACATGTATAAAAACACCATTTGGGTTTTATGGTCATTAGTTGAAAAATGTGAGAGATCATTTTTGTACGTTTATTATGTACATATGACCTTAGAGACAGAAAATACTGTCAACAATTCCCGTATGTGAAAACATCATGACGTCATGTTAATAACTGAGATGAAAATCAATAAAACTTTTACGATTTTGACATAAGTTCATTTGAATTAAGAAATTAAATTTTTTTGGATAATATTTTCTTGATTAAAATATTGAAGATTATTAATTCTCACTTTCTGTCTTCAATGGTTAAAATAAAATTTATCATCAAGATGTTGGGGTTGATACAACTTTAAATGTACAGTTTCAATTTGTGACAATTGTAAACATAACAAGAAACATTTTACTTACTAATAAATATTAAAGCTCAGCAAAGTGCTTTTAAAAGAGCCATTCAACACAAAAATGACGTATAAAAAGAAATATTAAGTAGCGTAACGTTTCGTCTTGGTTCTCAAGACATCATCAGACAGTATTGAATTACATGTATAAAGGGATTTATATATATAAAAGCTATTTACATAATATTAAATTATATGGTGGGATGAAAAAGGTGAAAGTAAAAGTGGGATAAGATGGTATGAAGTGGGATAAGTGGAAATCACGAAAAAACAAAAACATACACAATCACAAAGTATACAGACATGGAGTTTTCTTGTGAATTCCATTTATCCTTAGACTTTAATATATATACTAAGAATTTGCTTTCCGCCTGGTATATCCCTGGTCACTATTCTGAAGAAACATTTTACTAATGATTTTAAAGATCCTTGTGCTTTAAACACTCCACCGATTTTTCTAGTTCTAAGTTAGGGTCATCTTATGAAAAAACAGGTACGTATAGCGTACATTTTGTTGTCATTTACTGATTAGTAAACATTGGAGCTTTTCAAAATAAACATATTTCCACATCACGCGATGTCATCTTCAGTATTTGTAACAAAATGATGTACATGATACAACATATATGGTAGTAATGTGATACAGTTATAGTTTATTTAAAAATAAGTAGACATGAATTAATGATAAATGTGTTTACAAGTTCTTCTTTAATTTAAAATTTTAAAATCTTAAGTTTTTAAGTTTTTCTTACTTTACAAAAGGGGAGGGATAACTAAGGACAGAGTAATAAAATTAGGGCAACCTCTCGAGCAGGTGCAACCCTTTGCTCAACCTTTGGTCTCCGGCTTGCACTGATCTGCTTTTGAGTTCTCCCAAAGTTCTCCTCGGTTTGCATAAGCCTGTGCCATGAAACATCTTTTATTTCTTAATTGCATAATCATGTTTTATTGGGGCTTCTTTTGCCAAAATTTAAGGCTTTGGCTGCGTTTACACTATATAACAGATTTGCTCATCAAGATATCTTCATTTGGTTTCAAGAAGTCACAGTTTGGAGTAAATGCTTATTAAATTGATAGATTTTAGTCAATTTAATTGTTTTTTTTTTTGCATTTAACGATATCACTGACTTTTAATACATAGAAAATTTAACCTGTAACGATAGCAATTCTGTACAGTAAACTGGGACTTATTTTAGTTCACAAATATAAAGTTCGATGTTTGAAACGAGCGTAAAAATTTTATTCAAAGACGTTAGAGGATTAATTATTGTATGTTTGAGAGGTCATATGCACCTCGAGTTAATAAAAATAAAAAATTTTATCGTGACGTCAATTTCAGAAGTGTTAAAGTATTTAAATTCGTATGTGTTTACTTTAACGTCAGTCAAGTCACTTTAACTTTATAGAGAGGAAATGTAAGTACTGTGTATTTACTGACGAACAGGCAAAGTAAGAAATATATGGAAGAAATTAACAGGTCTTGTTAAAACCTTCGTAATGTGAAGAATTTTACTATTCGCGACTAAAAGGGTTAAATTTAGAGTGAGAAATATGTTCAGAAAGGATGTCCATGACGTCTGTACTGTATTGGTTAAATATTGAGGTTACACCATAAATGGAATGATAAAAAGTTATTAAAAGAACAATGTATAACATGTATGAACATTTATGTTGGACTATGAAGACTGACTACGCAGGGGCGGATCTAGAGTATGTCAAATCCGTCGCGCGACTGATGTTTGAAATTCAAAAATTACCTATTCACATTAATTGAAAATTCATTAATTATTCTTATTTTCTTGTCGCATTTACTTCGTGATAAAAATCCCGCATTATTTATTATTGAAAACTAATGACTAATCCAATGAATATCTCGTTGGTAACCAGATCAGTTGAATTTTAATTGACCTGGAATAACCGACTGATAAGCGGGGTGGCTTGACTGGTTCGACGGATAAAGGAGTCTATGAACGTCAAAACGCTTATTTTATTGGTCAATAGCCAGATCAGTGGACAGTCTGGAATGGTCTCGACTGATAATAAGGGTGGCCGGACGAATAAGGAGTCAATTGCTATCTTACAATTGGTTCATTTGAATTTTGCTTTATTGTGATTGGTTTGACGGATTTCGACTGATAGCCAACTGAACTAACATAGTCAAGCTCACTGTCTGAATTGAATGTTTGATCGTTTTATAGTAATTTTTATAAGCATGATAGAAACTAAACTACAATCAGATGGAATTTATGGAAATCTTTTACAAATTCATATATTGACATGAATGCTGCTGTCCAAAATGTGAATTTTTCAAGAGGGTGGAAATTTATGGATAAATTTTAAATGCTTGGCAAAGACGATCATCGAGCGACATTTCAGTCATTGATGTTCAAAAGAAAGCCAACATTATTTTGAGTTTTATCAGCAGAAATTTACATCCAAAATCGTAAGTAAAGGACAAGTGAAGTGTATGCATGAATGTAATATATCAAAGTCAATTATGTGAGTGTGTGATGCGATTTATGTCAATATGGCGTATGGTAAGCAGATCGATGCTTCTAAAATTGTTGTTGACGAAGGACTTTTAGCAATGATTTCTTTAGTGCTTGGGGAATCGTGGCCGTTATACGGCAGTGAAATCCTACATTCCTGCAAATATATTTCAATGGACAAAAAATCTGTAGCCATAAGGCGCCATACTATTATTTACTTTATCATAAACAAATGTTTGGGGTTTTTCAGTTTATGATCATTGATCATTCAATCATTGGACAGTTATACTTCATATTGTTTAAGATTTGAGAAAACTAACATTGATTACATGAGAAGCTGTTTACTATAACCTGTGATTTTGAGTCTTCTGATCCATGAAGCTTTTTATTTTGACAATTTGACTGGAATGGTATTAAACCTGAGTATTTCACATACATGGAATGTTGTCCCATGTCACATATTGTCCCTTTTCTAACTGAACACCTCATGTAGAGATGTAAAGGTGTGTTAATCTCGGCTCATACCAGATTGTTTGCCATAAATTCCAAAGGGCTATTGATGTATGAAAAGCATTTTCTATAAAGTAAAAATGTCTTTCTATGTATGCAGATAAACCTTGAAATTTGGCAAAACAAAAGTATTTTTCATGATCACTAGGTAATTTTTCTGATGAGCATTATAATTTCTAAACTAAATTATTTCTGATTTACATTTAAACAAGCTTTGATCATATGAAAAGATATTTATCATAACCAGTAAGCATGACACATGAACCAATTTTAACATTCATGTAATTATATAATTAAAGACATGTTGGTTACATTCTGTTTGTATTTGCAAATACAATGCTACTAGTGATTGCTATATAGCACACCTTGCATATACTTACAGGAGATAATAGTCTAGTGAAATGCCTAATAAATATTTATGGCATTAAGCTGTCCTTAACTGCAAATTTTCACTCTGATAATTTTTAACCTTTGGCAGAAAAAATTTTGAGTTTTTCTCAAAAGGTGAATTTGCTAACTGATGTGGAGATGGGTAAAGGGTTACAATATACTTGCATGGTTTGAAGTCTGAGCTTTTCTATATCTATGAACTGTCACTTGTAGTACCAAATTTCTAACTTAACTAAATTCATTACATAGAGGTTTGAATGGGGGTCTCTAGGGGGGTCTATGCCTGACAACTTGGTAGAAATTTTTAAAGACTATATCTGTTTTTGAATAGCATTATTGTAAAATAAATTTTACGTTCCTAGACATGCTAATGAGCCATATGTTTGGCATGATAATGAGCCTAAATATTTAACAAAACATTCAAGAATTGTTCACTTCATTTTTTTTTTTTTTGAAAAAAACGTAAGCAAAATGTTTTGTTTTTGCGCAAAAACGATGCCCACTAATACATTTTGTATTGCTCTACAACGCTGAAAATGGCATTTTCAAGGCTCTGAAATTCAAAATTTCTCAGGGGAGAATGTCTCAGACCCCCCCAGGTGCGGAGCGCCTTCGACGTTTTATGACTGATGTTTGAAAAATCCTAGATCCGCCCCTGATTGTATGTTTGAAAGGTCATATGCCCCTTTAGCCAACAAAAATGAAAAATTTTATTGTGACGTCAATTTCAGAAGGGTTAAAGTATTTAAATTCGTATGTGTTTACTTCAACTTCAGTCAAGTCGCTTTAACTTTATAGAGATGAAATGTAAGTACTGTGTATTTACTGACGAACAGGCGAAGTAAGAAATATATGAAAGAAATTAACAGGTCTTGTTAAAACCTTTGTAATTTGAAGGATTTTACTATTCGCGATTAAAAAGGTCAAATTTAGAGTGGGAAATTTGTTCAGAAAGGATGTCCATGACGTCTGTACAGTATTGGTTAAATAATGAGGTTACACCATAACCGGAATGATAAAAAGTTATTAAAAGAACATTGTATAACATGTATGAACATTTATGTTGGACTATGAAAACTGACTACATTCTACAAATATGAAATGAGGCAAATGCAAAAGAGGAGAATGGAAGAATATGATCCAGGTTTTAAAGTTCGTAATTGGAGTTGACAAGTTTTAAATTTAGTTTGCATGAGTATGAGGTTATTATGAAGGATCACCGTGGTCTATTTTTACAATTTGAAAATAAATAAAAAATCTTGTTTAAACTAGGATTTTGTGATTAAATCTTTCAATTTTTTGTTGTCGATATAAGAGGCCATGTGCTGCAAGTAAATAGTTGGTTTTCACTCGTTATTTTTTCTTTTTAATGCATACTGAAATATTTCAGTTTCTAAAGAAAATTACAACTCAATAGTCTATTGTAAAAATCTTTCATTGAATTTGTAAGAGACAAAAATGTCGCTAAGTAATTGCACAAAGCATAAAAACTTGTGCGATAAACAAAAAAGCAAGAGACACCAAGTAACCGGAGTCAGATTGGAAGAAAAGTTTTAAACTACAACGTTATTTGAAACTGAATCAAAGGTTTTACCAAAATCAAAGGAGACCACTCGAACAAAATCTTTATGCTCGTTCAACCATTTTAACCAAAGATACCGACGTTTGTAACCCTTACAACTTAACTAACATATATTTCAGAAAGTACTCAACAAAAAACGGAAAATGCCAAATGAGAAATTAATTTAACCTAGTGCAGAGAAGCCTATACCTCATCAAAGGAGCCTTTGTTAAAAGATATTATATCTTTTCTTACATGAAGTATACCAACGCAATGTTTCCTGCTTCTATTTTGTTATTTGCATTTTTATTTGAGGGAGAAACTTTTCCTTCTTGTTTCAATGTAATAAACCATATTTAATCATTTGTACTTTGCTTGAAGTTTTCTCTTATGCCAAAGAAGACAAGTACCTCCAAAGTTTGAAGGCTTCTACCAAGGTATTTATCTAAACAACTAATATTTGAAATACCATCGATCAATTTTCTATAAAAGCGATTGTGTTAAGTAGCGTAGTCAGTTCTCAAGTTTAGTCACGCTATGAAAATTTCGGAACTTTATGATCATTTATTTCTTTGGGAACCTTTTGTTTTCATTTTGAGTCTTTCACTGATCATCAGAAAGTTTAATAAAATCAATTGTGTTTTTTTAATGTACACCGTGAATGTTTAACGACATCAAAACTCAATATTCTAAAGCTATTCATCCGACATCACTATTTACTTAATAAAAACTTAAACAGAGAATATTGTTATAGTTCATAGCTCGACAAAATAATGCGAACGTGGCATCATCGACATTCATTCATTGTCATTGATAACTCGTAGCAAAATTCTTTCATTTTCCTTATTTTGGTCGTACAGTTTGTGTAAATTTTTTGTGAACTCTTCGAGAGTGTAGCTTTTACTTAATTCTTTGCACAGCCATAGTTTATCGCAAGTTTTGAAAGTATAACTGAGTTGATATTACTTTAATTACCTTGTTGAATGTTTGTTGTAAATTTTTCATGTGAGATTCAAAATTTTGCTAAAAAGCAATTATTTTGTGCATATGAACACCTTCACTGCCCCATTCATATAAATACAAAAACAAATAGTTCACCTTAGATAATAAACTCAAAAGAACATATAAAGTGTGAACAGACTCATAAACAGACAGTTGTAACATTTTGAAATATCCAAAACATTCTTTGATAATTTTCTTTCCTCCACATATGTATAATCTTGTAGTAACAATGGAAGTATTTAATGTCCGTAGGATATTTAGCTGTATTTAAAGTGGTACTAAAACGAAAACTGAACGTTAAAAAATCATCGATTTTAGCATTCAATAGTTTAAACACATATCAATTATTGCTTTAGTAAAATTTAAGCAAAAATAATAGTATAACGAGGGAGTTATGAACATTTGAAATGTCTAATTTTCATGTCCGCCATTAAAATCGGCCATTTTGAATATTTGCAATCAGCAAAGGTCTGTGACGTCATATTCTTAACACGGCAAGAAGCGCACATTGGAAAGTATACAAAGTAATATATAAACAGAGCAAAAAAAAATGTCAAATTCATCGAGATCTAGCTCGCTTTCTGAGTCTTCGATCGAGACAAACGCATCAATTTCTTCATCGGAATTCATGACGGCAAATTCGGACGAATCTAATTCGGAAATTTTGCCATTTGCCGATAATATTGAACCGCTTGCTTCGCCCGATGAAATTGCTGAGTACGAAGCTGCAGTCGCAGAAGAACGGCAGGTTGAGGACATGCTGCAAGATCGTTTTGATGCCCGTGTTGATGTTACTTCATGGTAAGATGTCATTCTTAGTGTGTTACTTTGATCTGAATCGTCTGCCGTTAGCTATGATAACTTTATGGAAACATACAATTTGGCCAATATTAAAGGTGTGAATGTGGCCATTGTTCGTTGGATCTTGTTGTCAACCCTCAAGAGTGCCGATGCTGCATGGAATTAGAGCAATGCCGTGGCAAAATGAATCAGTTCGAAGTCGATGAAAGAAAATGCATTTTGGATCACCCTGGCTTTAACGAAGTTTGCCTGAACGAATTTGTTCTTCAAGCAGCTTCGTTATGTTTAAAGACCAAAGGTCATCGCAGTTATGCGACCGTTTTTCGAGATGGTCAAAAGACCAGAGAGGAGTAAGCCTTTTTCTTTGTGAAAATTCTAAAAATATTATTTTGTGCGCCTGCGTCTATGTTTACTTTTTGAAATTTATAGGTTCTTTCGAGCAGTATCGTACAGACAACTCGTGCGTCTTGTATGGGACTTTACAGGCAGCTCCAGACATTTGCCACTGCCTTGTTGTTGTTACAACAAAATACGGACGACATTTCCGAACAATAAGTGTCTTCCTTACAAAGGATTCGAAGAGGATGAGGACATATAGCAATGTAAAAAGGTGATGGAAAAAGCTATCATAGGTGATATATTTACAAAATTTACAAATATGCCTTTACATTGTTGACAACTGCCTTTCTTGTGACCTTTCATAGGCTTTGCACATTTCTTGCACAATGGATTTCTTTTTTTAGCTGTATGCTCTCGACCTGTACCAAGCAACTCTTGTAATTCTTCATCTGTGCATGTGATAGAACAGTCAGTGTTAAGTTTACGTTTCTAGAACGAAACAAGGTAATTGCATCAACTTTTACTTGCTGTGCATTGGCTCTGGAGTGTGTCTCCTCAATTCATTTTCAGCTTCTTCAAGCCTTTTCCTAGGAGTCTTCAGCAAAGTTTCATAAATTTCTTCAACATATGCTTTAACAAAATTGGTAAATAATCCATTTGTGTTTTGTAAATACAACACATGCATTTAATTTCTCATGCTCATCAAATAAACTCACAAAAGTCTTGCTTCACCCCAACATTTCGTACAGTTCCTTCTCCCTCCTTACACTTTGTATATGTGAACCGAAGATGGGTATCGCCATGCGGCGTAGTCCTGGTAGCCCTCTGCAAATTAATATTGAAATGTAATGCTGCTAAGATGGACCTACAATGCAAATTATCAATTAACTTTATTTCATTATCATATACTCTTTTGTCTTGAATTTTATCAAACTGTGATTTTTAGTTTACTTGCAATACATGCCAGAATAAGAGAAATGAATCATTTTTGGTGCGAAATGATTGACAAATGAATGGTATCCCTCGAAACAGCTGGTCTGGGCAACAGAAGATGCTTGTTTGATAGCTTTAACAAGTTTCTTTTTGGTAAGGGCATCTTTCAACTTTTCATAAGCAATAGATCCTAGATGAATATTATTCCAACTATTTGACTTACTTGGGTTTTTATCATGTTGCTTAGAGTTAGCGTATTGAAGTGAACAAATGTAATGATATTCTTTTAAACTCAAAATATTGTACCCTTTGTTAACCACACTCTTGGCTTTAGGACATCACTGTGACTGCATCTGCTGTAAATCTTATTTGGGAAGTCTTTGTGTTTATTCAAAATGTGATAGAAAAAAGATTCAAATTTGGCCCATTTAACTTCTCCAATTCCAGATAAAGTAGATGTAGCAGCCCAATAGAAATGTCGTACGCATGCTTTTCTCCATCTTCCTAGGATTTGGCAGTCTTTTTCTTTTGCCAATGTAATCATGATCTTCTGAATCTCTATAAGATAAGAATAACATGCTGTTGTAAACGATTTTCACTGATATGTCATGATGTAGGTATATATATAACTTAATACTTTTTCCAATGTGCCACAGGTCATAGAAATGCTGGATAACTGGTTTCCCCAATTCTTTGCACAGTTTTGGACATGTTTCCCTCATCCATTTGGCTATGGTGGCATGTCGATCTGATACGAATGTTGTTATTATTAGGCCAGTTGTAAGGAGAAATGACATGGCCTTTTGGTGACCAAGAGCCTCCATAGCTGAACTACTCCCTGCTTGGTTTGCCTTTGACAAAAATGTGAGTGACATATGTTCAAGTATTTGGAACAAATTAATTTTATTGTTAGCCAGTAAAACTACCTGTACAACAACCAAATGAATGATTAATCCAATTGTGCAGCAAAATATTGTGTATGTGCCATACTTTGCTGAATGACCCATACTGTCATGCCGCCCATCTCCTGACAATACAACTTCTTTTCCTTCTAGAGATTCCAATATCTTTTTTTTGATAATTACGCCAATATAAAACAATGGAAGGAAACAGAAAGTGTCTCTGGTGATAATAATATGCGACTTCACTGTAGCTGATCAACCCCATGTTCTTGAACACTTGAAGTACCTGTACAATGCCATTGGTTTATGGAGTACTGAATATCTGTGATTGAGATGATACATTGCTACATACTTCCTCACCTTTTTTACTGAAGCACCTGCACACAAAATAGCAAAACTAAGCAAAATATTGCCAGCTGGAAACTTTCCAAAAAGATATGGTTGACTTTTCCAGGTAAAGCTTTCTTTACAGTTACTGCACTGACTTTCAATAATCAACAGAGTGCCACAACAACTTGTTTTCACTTTTGGGTTGGGGTGAAAGCAATGATGACAGTGTTGAAAAAGCAAAAGTAGCTGAGAAAGGAAAACAATTCCCTTTGGCTCATCTCTTTTGTTTGTTCCTTCATTTACTCTGATAATGAAAGAAACATTACTGTAAATGCAGAAATTATCACAAAACTTGTTACACATACACGCATAGAAAGCGTTATTTTAAATTACCGATTGCGAGTTAAATTATCATCATCGTCTGCAGTGTTCTCATATTCCCTCCTCAACTGCTCAGGCTCCCAGAGGGTCTGTATTGTATGGATCTTTCTGTTTCGTTTCTTCACTATCACACATATATGTGTCCATATCCTCCATAAGTTCTTCAGAAATCTGGTCTAAATTACGACAAAGATGTAGTGGTTTTTTTATACATGCTGTTTTTGTTGAAGTGTGAGCCGTTGATATTTTAACACTAGCCTTCGTTTGCATCTTGTAAATGAACATGTTCTGTCGTAGGATTCTTTTTATCTGAAAAAACATTGAAATTTTTTTTTATTACTATAGTCTCCTTTTGTGAATTGAAACTTTAAACGTAAATAATGTATACTGGGGTCAGTTCTCTCATCGGTTACAGTTTCTCTTGCTATTAAATTAGTCGTCCGTATCCATTGCGTTTGATTGATAGCTAATTTCGTGTGCAGTTTTGTAAGTTCTCCATGCAACATCTTTAATTCACTATCTTTTTTCTTGCAACTCTCACAGGACGCCGTAGCATGATCCTGAAAGTTTAAAAATGTCTACAAAAGTTATACAAAAATATATTTCAAAGATACAAACCGGTTCATTTTCTTTGTTTTCCGTGTAATTAGGTGCATCGGGCGTGATCTGTTGGTCCTGTAAGAATATTGAGGAATAGTTGTTTTACGAAGTGCACGTATGTGTGAAGAGCAATTGTTGGCTTTACGTATGCATCATTCTCAGATTGGTCTGGAATTTCAGTTGTGCCTTTTTCTTCTTGAAAATAGCACGAATCTTCTTTCTTCATGCATGATACAGACACTTCATTTTGTATTTCCTTTAAAACCTTAGTATAAATGTATATTATATATTGAAAGTTTGCCTGGATGTATTATTGGTTCTCTCAAATTGTGAAAATTTATCATCTGCAATATGTGTAAGTATATAATAGTTGTAACTTGTGCTAACCTGACGCCGCTCTCTTGAAGTTGTTGGTGTTGGCGATTTCTTCCAAATAGTAGGTACGGCACCAGGTTTGAGCCGTCTAGTCATACCACCCAAATGGAAAAACGCTCAAAACAATCATCCGAGAAGTGATTCGAACAAATCATAAATCGAATTTCGCGCGAACTCGGATTAAAGTTTGCGCGCTTCGTCTCAACAAATTTAACCCAAATTCTTCTTAAAGACTCGTCGTTTGGGCTTATATGTAATGAAATGCCTGTACTTCTATCAGACGTATTACTGCAATCTTGCACGACACAGCGTGTTGAAGGCATGTTAAAAAAATTGAGTTATACAACCTTTTATATCTCTATTTGTATATAGTGTTATATTGTAAACAGCCGCGTGTTAAGAATATGACGTCACAAGCATCTTCCTTCTTGAAAATTCAAATATGGCGCATTTTAATGGCGGCTCTTAAAGTACAAGTTTTATCGCTACGTAACTCGAGCAGCATTAAATACATTGCGCTAAAATTTCGCCAGAAGAGATTTTTTTACATACACTATTAATCTATGAAAAAAAAACGGTAGGCAAAATTTTCGTTTTAGTACCACTTTAAGAAGTTGATATTGTCATATTTTTGTAATGTACCAGAATCAAGAAATATAAAATTTCATGATGCCTATTTTGTATTATTTTCTGATCAAAATAGTGCAAGCTGATTGATGAAGGGTAAGTATACTTGCTAGTAAAATATTTTTTATATAAAATTCTTTGTAGCATAACATTTCTTTTCCCGTTAATACAATACAAATAGTAGAGTAATTTGATATGGATATGGTTTCAAATTCCATTCCATTGATGTAGACATAGTTTTAAACTTATGTCATAAGTGATAAATCACAGGAAAATACTAAAAGACATGAATACAAACACAAATCTGTATTTTACTGTACATATTATCAATGCATTATTTGATAATGAAGTGCATTTGAAAACCTTTTTTTGTCTGCATTCTCAGATATTCAAACTCTAAATATATAGTTTATTTATCTGTTCTAATTTGTCATGTCAAATTTATAATTTTAAAGATGGCATTCATATCAGTAGCCACTGGTCTGTACTAATATATAATAGTTTGGTTATAATAAAGTAAATGATTTAAACCTGGGAGTATTGTTACATGTTTGTAGATGTAGATTGTTCAGATTTGTGCAGTCATGAGAAGGACTGTTGTTGTTGATGTTAATTGATGTTTTGTAATTCTTAGTGGTAGTCATCTCCAGAATAAAGTGAGGAGTAAAAGTCAGGTTTTCCATATTTGTTGTCAGGTTCATATGTCATCATATATTGTGTGTACAGGAAATTTGTCTGTGTGTGAATGTCAATTGTGTATTGTCATCATGGATTAGTCCAAAGTAATGTTTTTAGTTGCTCATTTTTTCAGGTTATTGCTGCCACCCTAGGGTGTGCACATAATCATGACATAACTGGACCCAGTCCTTCTGGCTGATCTATATAGAGGTGAAATTTTGATTTGTTTTGTCTATCGGTTTCTTTTTTTTTAGAGGGGGGAATTTTTACGGAATGAGGGGGAGCTTACAATCACAACAAAGTAGAACCTTTCAAAATATTTGAGATATTTTGTACTTATTTCTCCTTTTATTTAAGGTTTGAGAAATTGGAGATAAACTGTCGACATGATTACGATTTTTTTCAAAGTTCTTTCAAACATGGTAATCCTCCTCCACGTTATCATTATTAAAACAGAACATTTCATAACGTCAGGTGATTATTATCTTACTGTGTTTATTTTAATCTTTAAAACCATTGAGTGAATGTATTTTCTCTTTTCTTTTATTTTGAGTGGATTTTGAATAAATTTCGAACTTGAAATAGCGTTTTACATTCTGCTCTTAATGTCAATTGAGATTTCATAATTTTGCGTAATTTCTTTCAGTGTTGGACAGTGTGGGGTGGAAAAACCATTGAGTGAATGTATTTTCTCTTTTCTTTTATTTTGAGTGGATTTTGAATAAATTTCGAACTTGAAATAGCGTTTTACATTCTGCTCTTAATGTCAATTGAGATTTCATAATTTTGCGTAATTTCTTTCAGTGTTGGACAGTGTGGGGTGGGCTTAGGATAAATAGGGTTTTGATAATACTTAAGGTGAGGGATTTGTTAGGGTGAGGAAAAAGGAGAAGAGTCATGGTGATGGTGTGCAAGGCTTTCTCACCTATCTAAACCCTTTATAACCCTTTCTCACCTATGTATTTAAACCCTACAGTACCGACCTCGAGTAACATGACTTGACTCGCAAGTATCGAATGGCGAGTCAATTGCGAGTTACTCTCGAGTGTGAGAAGTTTGCTAGTGAATAAAATAATTCTCTGTTTGCGAATGAATCCAATTAACTTGCAAAAATTTTTTTCTCCAGTATTTGAAATTGACAAACATAATCTTAAGTGTAGTGACAAGTAAAATCACACCATCCCAATCATTTTTGTCGGCGTGAAGTCAATGAAATTGTTTCAGAAACCAATCTCATACTTCAAACATTTCTACTGGCAAGTGAATCGCAAAAGTTCTAGCCATTTACTATACACGTGGTCTTATATCGTTCTTGCTATTAAATGTCTATGGCCTTTATATCAATAGCAACTACATCCAAAACTCCAGGTCAACGAAGTTCTTTCAGAACCGAATTCAAAAGATTATACATACACTCCTCGCATAGCTACATTTCTTAAATATTTAGCTTTAAAGAAGATTCGTCTTTTTAATGCATTCTTTCCTAAGATTATATATGTCCATAATCTAAGACTTTTAGAAGAAAATGTTTGAGCGCTAATCTCATTTACTCATTGATTGCGTAACATTTACTTTACATTTCTCTATGGTCTCTACCGCTTTACGATTAATGTTTGTGCCATGAGAAATGTGAAGTTATTAAAATGCTTTTGTAAAAAAATTCAAAAGTTTTTAACGTCGTTAGGTCCCGAGATATTGCTTCAAATGAATAGTCGTTTTGCTCCCATGTTTCATAAAAAGATATAAAACCGTTGCTTTCAAAATGTTGAACGAATTTTACTTGTCACTACACTTAAGATTATGTTGTCAATATCAAATACTGGAGAAAGAAATTTTTGCGAGTTATTTAGATTCACTCGTAAACTTCTCACATTCGAGAGTAACTCGCAACTGCATCGCGTGTCACTCACTCAATCGCAACACGTCACTCTCGAGTGACTCGCAACTACATCGCGAGTCACTCGCCATTCGACACCAGCGAGTCAAGTCATGCTACTTTTTGTAACCCTTTCTCACCTATATAAACCCTATGCAACCCTTTCTTACCTACTTAAACCATCAACACCCCAACATTAAGTTCACAAATAATAATGTTCTAACATTTGGTTAGAGTGACTAAATTTGAAGACTGACTACGCTACTGTATGTAAAGTTAGTTTTATTTGTTGCTTTTAGTGCAGTAATTTCACGAACACCTTTAACTAACAAACACTAACATAATTATTTTATATTTATTTTATTCTCAGCCTGACAGTTTAGCCAACGAACACTAACATAATTATTTTATGTTTATTCTATTTTTAACCTGACAGCTTAGCCAACAAACACTAACATAATTATTTTATGTTTATTCTATTCTCAACCTGACAGCTTAGTCAACGAACACTAACATAATTATTTTATGTTGATTTTGTTTTCAACCTGACAGTTTGAATACAGATTAGGGTGACCAGGATTGTGAATGAAGAATCGTCAAATGCATCAATATTCCACTTCTTTCAGGTAAATATGTCTTTTTTTCATTCTTGCTGAGTTGGATTAAAATCTTTTTGCCTAGGATTTAGGATAAAATATAGTGGATTAATAAGGTGTCTAGAGGATTAATAAGGTGTCTAGAGGATTAATAAGGTGTCTAGAGGATTAATAAGTGTCAGGTCAAACAATGATGTTTGATCTGATACATACATCTATAAACGTTAAAAATCAATCTTTAAAAAATTTCAATATACTTTAAGGTTACAACAAAGACGATATGAAAGTGTATGTGTCCTATGAATTTCCCTTTCTAAACGTAAGTTGGTTTATGTTTCATTTAAGAAATAAAAGATGTTTACTGTGTTTACACAGGCTTATGCAAACCAAGTAGACCTTTGAGAGCAGATCAGTGCAAGCCTGAGATCGAAGGTCGAGAGTTGCACAAGCTCGAGAGTTCTCACAAACATCTCCGAGGTTAGCATAGGCCTGTGCAAACACGAAAAACATCTTTTATTTCTTTTATAAAATAACAATAATACGGAAAAGACAAACATTTTAATTTTTCCTCTAAAATGTCTTCATGATCGATTTGCAAATTCTCTTTGAATGATTAATTGTTTTCATTGATTTGATTGGTCGAGCTCAGATGTGTTTTGCACAGGTTAATGCAAACACGGCTCTAGACCAATCAGCGCACGCGTTTCATTGTGTTTATTTTATAAAAAAAATCACATTCACACTACAATGATTCAACAACATGACTGTGAATTGACATCTTTGCATGATTAGACGCAACGCAAGAGCGTGCAATTGTGACAAACAATGGAAGCATTGTTAACAATTTTGTTAGACAATAAAATCATTGTTCAAGTAGTTGTTCTCATTACCGTTGAACAAATTCTATGTTTTGCAAACGACAGGTTTTTCTCATGTAACAATCACTTTCTCACTTTTTCTTAAATCAATGTTATTTATCTACACTAAATTTTAAAATTACTCAACTTTAGGATCAACCTCAAACTGGCTTCACGGAAACCATCAAACACAACATTAATCGTGGTAAGTTTGATTCGAAATGAATGATATCATACAGCATTGGATCCCTGCATGATCTTGTATTGAGGGGTAAGTGGGGACTGGGGAGGAGTTACTTTACTATGGACCATTGAACTAAAATACGTGGAACGCTACCTCAAGCAAATAATTGAAGCCATATCGTACGCCAGACACGCGAGATTTTACCCTAGACACGCGTGTTTAGTGTTTCGAAATTCTCGCGCGGAGTAATAATTGATTGACTACAAACGCGTGTCTGGGGCAAAATCACGTCTTCAAAAAATTATTAGGGTTTTGTATTACAGGTAGCGTTCCATGTATTTTAGTTCAATGCTATGGACAGAATGGTCGTGTTACTTAAGTACTCATGACGTCATTAGTATCCTATGTTGTGGTTATTGGAGTGTGAATGGGGACTGGGGAGGAGTATTTTTACAAGAGACAGAATGGTCGTTATACTTCAGTTCTCGAGACGTCAATAATATCCAATGTTGTGGTTGTAAGCTTTTTGATATGCTAGAACCTTCCTCCTCCTTAAATTCATTATTCTACATCGATGATCAATTACGCTGTTTTTTCGTATAGAATTTGATTAAAAGTTTAAGATATCTATCGACAGAAAAAACAGATCTTTGGCGAGAATATTTCGACGACAAATTGTGAAATTTGAAATAAAATACAACAGGTTTGTCGTACGTGAGATGGATGTTTCATTGTTTTACATTATGTGAAATATTTTTTATCGTCAGTAAATGTTCAAACCATTTAGAAAATTTCTGAAAGGTGACAAGACGCTGGCTCAAGCTTCTCTTAAGTTATCACCGTTTAATAATAGATGTGAAATTCACGAATGTCTTAATGTAAGTAATGTGTGGTATTTTTTTGAACTTTATGAATTAATAATTGCAGAAACTGTGTTTAAATCATTGAACTATATATAACTGGACGGCCACCCTCCCGCTAAAATTTGAAGACAACATTTCGGTAAGCTAAAATGCCGAACTATACGTGTATAGTATAAGCTTTGTACAAATATAGGCATGTTTACCAAATGTAGCATTTCAGACTTCACCATCTTCTTAATGTCTGCCACGTGATGTGTAAAGACAGAAAAAGGACTAGAACTAGTATTCCAGTAACACCTCCATTATTTGATAAACACGTCATACGTCAGTGCTTCCGCTCTGTGTTTGCACATTTCACCTACCAAAACTTTATTTTCCCCCTACCTCCCCCTAAGATTATTTTCTTTGTTTTCCCCTACTTTCACCTACACAGCTACATATCCCCCTATTATATACCTACGTCGGGTAGGACCATTGAATCTTTTAGTCTGTTTTTAAAAAATGCATACAAAAAAAATATTATTGACAACTAAGAACATCTAGACGACAAAGTTAGTAATTTGGCGTAGGAAGTAATGACATGCAGGTGGCGCAAATGACACACTGAGTTTATCTAAGTTCCTGATCTTCTATTGCCATATATAGTCACAAAATGTACCAAAAGAAAGATTCTTATAAGCTTAATCGACAAAGCATTTCGCCACGCGTGGCAAAAAATATCAAACATGTTTGATATTTGCCAGTTCTGCCAGGAAAGGCAAAAGTCGTCGGAAACAGTACGCGCACACGAGAGCAACTTGCTCGCGCCACTTGACACGAATGACATTTTGCTAAGCACATAGCTCTCGTGTGCGCCGGGCTTAAGTTGCTGATCTTTTATTGCCATATATGGTCACAAAATGTGCCAAAAGAAAGATTCTGTTACAATTACTTGCTAAATCCTGAGAACACAGGAAGAAAAGAGTATTTTGGGCAAAAACGAGGCTCATTTTTAAACGATTTTCTTTTCTCCCTACAATACCCCTACATTTCACAGTTTTCCCTGTAGGTTTCCCCTACCACCTACGAACCACTAAATCCCCCTATTGTACGGGATTTCCCCTACGAGTGGCAGCACTGTCATACATAATGTCACTTAAAATACATGTTATCTCGATTCAAAATTTACGTACGTAAGAACGATTGCTGTCGTAAGTGGACTTGTTTACAATTGCGGCTTATGGATCCCGAGAAAGGTCGCAAGGTGATTGGTGGAAAGATTGAAGTCAAATTACGTATATGTGAACCTCTGACAGATAAAGATGTTGAAATCTTGACGCAAAAATGGTTGGTCATAGATGCATTTGTAGCACCAACAAATAGAGTGAGTATATAAAGTTAAGTTGTGTATAAATATATAGTTTTCACAGGGTTGTGTTTGTTGCATTGAACTTAAATACATGGAACGTTACCTGAAGCAAAAAATTGAAGCCAAATCTTACATCCAGACACGCGTGTTTAGTGTTTCGAGATTCTGAAAATTGATTCACTACACACGCGTGTCTGGGTGTAAAATTTAGCTTCAAGAATTTATTAGACTTTTCTATTACAGGTAGCGTTCCAGATGTATTTTAGTTCAATGGTTTATAGCACGAAACCATGGTTACGTTACACTGAATAGTGGATTCAAACCTCCAAAAATCCACTCCTCCGACATTCTGGCAACATTCGAACGAATCCACTATTCATTAAGAAATAAACTTATCAAACAAGAGGACTATTCAATACTAAAAACGAAACTTGGTCACTTGGCACACACGTACGTAACTTCCTACCATCCAATTCCTAAAGACCTGAAGAAACATAAAATTCTAAGGAACATTCGTTAAAATGACAAAATCATTGTTCTTAAACCTGACAAAGGCAATGGTGTAGTCATTATGGATCGTCAGGTATACATTAACTCTTGCCTCACTATAATTAACAATTTATCTAAGTTCAAACCACTCGATCATGATCCTACAATTTCCCGTGAAGCAAAGTTACAACGACTGCTACGTAACTTAAAGAAAAAGAACTCTATTAACGAAAAATCATTTCAAGAAATGTACCCTAGAGGTTCACAGCCAGCTCGATTATATGGTTTACCTAAACTTCATAAATTAAGCAATATCAATGATATACCTCCTATCAGACCTATAAATTCTTCAATCAATTCGTATAACTACAAATTAGCCAAATACCTCAGCTCTTTACTCCAACCCCTAATACCTAATGACCATTCTGCTAAAGATTCTTTTAGTTTTGTCGATGATTTTTTATCTTTTAACACTAACGCTCCACATGACAAATTCTTTATTTCTTTTGACGTAAAGCCTTTTTACCAACATACCACTGACCGAAACCATAGACATTGCTATTGATTTAATTTTTACCAACAACCCTACATTCAAAATGAGCAGAACAGAACTAAAACTATTATTTAACATCACTACGGCAGAGACTCATTTTTTATTTAACGGTAAGTACTACGACCAAATTGACGGGGTAAGTATTGGCTCACCCTTGGCACCCATTCTAGCCAACATTTTCATGTGTTTTCACGAACGAAACTGGTTAAATAACTACAGCAACAACAAACCTTTATTTTACCGCAGATACGTTGACGACATTTTTTGTACTTTTCATAACAAAGACGAAGCATTACTCTTTTACGAATACATCAACAAACAACATCAAAGCATAAACTTTACATACGAAACCGAACAAGACAATCAGTTACCCTTTCTTGACATCTTACTAACTAAATCACATGAAAACTGTATGACCTCTACGTACCACAAACCAACATATACAGGACTACTGACTAACTTTTTTAGTTTCACACCATTAAATTACAAAATTGGACTGATACGAACACTGACCGACAGAACACGGAAACTCAACAACACAGACATCGGCTTTCAACGTGATTTAAAGAAACTAATATTCACTCTCCAACGTAATTCTTTTCCTTTTCATTTCATCAACAACACTATACAACACTATTTGGACAACAAGAAAAGCACTGACTCATCTAACTCCACAACTAACACTAACGATAGACAACAACCTGACAATAAACGTTATTTCAAACTACCTTACATAGGTGATTACTCACGACACACACAACGCAAACTCACACAAATCATTAAACGCTACTGCACTGACATTGACGTTAAACTTATTTTCACACCTTTTAAAATAAAATCTTTATTTTCGTTTAAAGACCCAGTACCCGAACTTTCCAAATCTATGGTAGTTTATCAATTTTCATGTGCGGATGTAATTCCCGCTATATTGGTGAAACTTCTCGCCAATTATCTACCAGGATAAAGGAACATACTCACACAGACAAAAACTCCACTATCTACAAACATCTTCAAGCCTCTCTTTCATGTAAAAACAAATTCTCACCTTCCTGTTTTAAAATCATCGACACTGATCAATCCACTTTCTCACTCAAAATCAAGGAAGCTCTACACATTAATAAAACTAATCTCGATTTAAATATCCAAGTTCACTACTACAACACTATATTTACTTTATAATAATATTTTTTGTTATAAGTTCTTAATACTTATTTTTCTTTTCCTTTTTTGTAAATATTTTATAATTTTGTAACTAAATCATAATCCTATTCATTGTAATTAATTTATTCATATCATATTACGTATCATATTTTGTAACTAAATCATAATCCTATTCATTGTAATTAATTTATTCATATCATATTACGTATCATATTTTGTAACTAAATCATAATCCTATTCATTAAATGAAGATATGATCTTCGCACTTTGCTGGACAATTTAAGCAATCGTCTGAGGACCTGAAAAAATCAGGTGACTCAACGGGATTCGAACCCATGACCTCTGCGGTGCTGGTGCAGTGCTCTGACCACTAAGCTATGAAGTCACACAGTGACTTCATAGCTCAGTGGTCAGAATCCTTCACAATCCTATTCATTGTAATTAATTTATTCATGTCATATTACGTATCATATTACTTAACACTAATCATTCTGCACTGAAGATGGCATTCTGATAATGTCGAAACATGTTTGCTTTCAAAAAAATCGTCGTTTTTCTCAAGTGTTTTTTAAAATTAAAATTCATTTAGAGTATCAAAAATTGTGTCTTAATCATTGATATTTAAATCCTGTCTTAGATAAATGATTCTCTATTCCAGAGTTAAAACTTGCGTAACTTTATAACGTTTAACAGCAGTCCTTTGGAATTTAACTAATCTCAATGTTAAATATGTACTCTGCATGAGGTCCTAATTTATGTATTTTTATTTCTATAACAATTGTTTTTAGTCAGTGATGTATACTTAGTTATATAACTAGAATGTTCTGCATAGATGTCATTAATGTGTTTTAATACTGTTTGTCGAAGGAGATCCTGACTCACTCTTCATCTTCGTTCGTCATTCAAATGTATTAAAAAAGTTGATTTTTTAATAATGTATGAATGAATTATGATCACCATTTTTTAACTGATATGTATGTAGTCGCGTTTTTTATATTCAATTTCTCATCTTTTGTTAGGTACGTAACATGTAAAGAAATAAAGCAAACATAATTTTGTCCACATGATCGTCGTATATGAAGTCTTATTTCTAAAACAAAGGTAATTTTACGTAAGTTAACCGAGATTTTGTATTTACATTTCTAACTTAACAAATTTGATACCGAAGCATTGCGTAGTATGAAGTATGACTATAAACAAATTAATTTTTATCTCCATTCCA